AAAAAAAAAAAAAAAATTATTTTTTTAAAAATTTTCATTCGGGAAAAAAAAAAAAAAATTAAAAAAAAAAAAAAAAAAAAAAAAAAAAAGAGGATGGGTTGAACCAGATAATCAAATGATAATTTGTTGTTGAAAAAACCATGAAACATATTTTCAATTTGATTATTCAATTATTCTATACATATATGTGAACAAAACAAAAGCAAATTTGTTTGATATTTCAAACAAAATTAAGAATTTTTTGGTGTATTTCGGTTGAAAATGCTAAAAATATTCAAGCGAAAAGATGATGAAGCCAAAAAAACGAAACGAAGGTAGAAAAGATTCGATAATTTTTTTTTTTTTTTTTTTTTTTGGCAAAAAAGAAAAGAAGAAGAAAAATTATTCGACCATATCGTTATTGTTTGTTGCGATCCAAAATAACTTTTTTTCTTTTTTCTTTTTTTTTGGTCCATCTCATCCGATATCGTAACAACAATGAACAGCGAAAATCATCATTGAATTAATGAATTTTTGTCATTGTTGTTTTGCTTCAAGTGTTTTTTTCAGAATTTTGTAAAGGCTAAAAAAATGGTGATAATTTCATTTCATTTCATTTAATAATAATAATTTTATTCGTGTCTTTTTGTGTCATTTTTTTCTGGTTGGTTGTTTGATAATAGTATGGTATGGTATCGTTCATTTCATTTCATTTTGGTATAAAAAAATTGTCTTATTTCATTTAGATAATAATTTTTTTTTCGCACTTTGCTTGATGATGATCCAGATATCTTTTCTGGTGAAATGTCTGTGTGTATGCAACCGTGGTCATATGTGTATTCAGAAAGGTCAGAAAAAAAACGAAAATCATATTGCAAGAGGATTAAAAAGCAATATTCAATACAAAGTTTCATTGTTTTCCTATCAATTGTTTCAAAAAAAATGATCATTAATAATTGATTGATAATCGTAGAAAAAATATTTATCAAATTGAAAATGATTTTTTTTAATATTTGATTTTTGGCTATTTTTTTTTTTTTTTTTTGGCTTTTTTTTTCACACAACAATTCATCATTCATTCATTCATTCATTCATTCATTTTTTTTTC